CAAGGCAGATCAGCACTTTTCTGGATTTACGTTCTCCCTGAATTACCATACGCAAGTAACGATTTCTCTGTTGGCACTTCTGCTTGTTCAACACTAGATTAATGCTTCAAATATGATCCAGACTACACGCTTCTTAAAACCATCACCTCTCAGTTTCCAAAACAGATATACAAGGACTGGGGAGGGAAATTATGCCCACATCCTATCTGCTGCTGCTGCTATTCAAAGCTAGATTACACCAATACACTTATTTCTTGTTCCCATTTCACCTGTGTTCACCAGCTCTTTAGCAGGGTTGCAGTACCAGTCCGTGGCTGTTTTCCAGCACACACGCAGTAAAGCTGAAGCCTGACACACAGTGGCATTGTCAGAAATAAATGCAAGTCCACAGAACTGCCCTCATTTGGGCAACAGCTTGAGATTTTAAGGTACTCCTCTGGAAGAGGGAAAAATCAAAGCGATATAGGTGAGATAGCCATTGAATGAGGAAGCGTCAGCCCTAATGATTTGGCCCACAAGCAAATTTAGCTTAAGTGAAAAAATAAAAATAAAATAGTAGCAATACAACAAGGTAGAGATCCAGCACGAGTGACCTTGGCAGTGGCAATAATGCTGAGGGAAAGGCCACCAACACGAAGGACATTGTCCAACAAGCCTGAGGGCAATTCCACAGCAGGGTGCTCCTCCCCAGCCCTGTGCCTACCCACTCCTACCCCACAGAAGCTCCCCCATGAAATTAGCAGGAATAAGCCCCTCTTCATTGGTTAAAAACAAAGAAACAACCCAGATAAACGGAACTGAATTCCCTCTGGCTTTCCAGCTGCGGAGGCATCAAGACTTGGATACCCTGCCCTGAGGTCAGAGGTGTTACCTTGGCAATTACATGGACACAATTGCTTTCCTTCCCCCCTTTTTCCTAGATTCCTCCTAGTTTCCTTCCCTGTCAGCAACATGCCCACACATCCCTTGAAGATATTTAGTGTGTTTTTTTTTTCTCCTCTTTTTGAGCAGTGCAGCTAGGGGTCATTATTAATCACGCTGCTTTCCATTCTCCATTTCCCTGCTCATTGTCCCGTGCCGCTTGTTGAGAACCTTATCTTTATTAGCTGCTCTTATCACGACTCGATTACACATTACCAGAAACACTCCTTACTCAGCAGGATTTCCTCGGGATTGCATTGCTTTCGGCTTCAGAAAGCAGCTCTGTGGAGCGAGCCACTCCACCACAGCCAGCCCAGGAAGTTATTGATCTAATTTAAGATGCACAAGGGGACATGAAAAGCTGGAGGATGACTTTGAGGAACTGGCAGGAGCGGATTTAGAGGACAAAGCATTTCTATAGGGGAGGAAACGCATTAGCTTATGTTGTTTGCATTGGCATTCAATTATGGAGCAATTATTTGGCCTCGGTGAGCTGTGCTCTAATGGCAGCCACAGAGCTAAGATCCTGCAGCACGGGGATTGCATCCAGCTAAAACAGTCCCCCATCCACTTAGTTACTCAACCAAATAACACAGCTGTACAGCTAGTGTACCTGTCTGCTTCCAAGAAATCAGACTGATGCAGTTCTTAGGGATTTACTAGCACATCACCACACCACGTACTCTACTGATAGTAGACTTGAAGGGGAAAAAATCCCCTATCGCATTGCCCAGGGAAGTTAAAAGGCATCAACTCCCATCAATTTCTCTTGCTCCTTTATCCTTCCAATCCCCCGCCCCAAGCACTGTTACAGAGAATAAATGGTTTGAAAGGGCAGAGTGAGTGCAAGGGTGCAGGGGAAAATGCATTCTTAGAGGAAAAACTTTTCCTTAATGGATGTCTTTCTGAACCACAAAATCCCATCTCTCCATCTAAGGACTCCACAGCCTGGTGAACCCTCACGGTGCCAGACACAGGGTAGGGACAGGCAGCCCAGGCAAGATGTGGGCAGAGCTGGGTTTGTTTGGTTGCTTCCCCTCCCACTTGGGCAGGAATGGCACCATCATACCATTGCCATAGCCCTTCGGATCCCAAATCTCTGCCTACACACAGCTTCTAGGGCTGGCTCAGGAACGAGGAGAAGGTCTGGAGAATTCATTAGACACCCAGTTAACAGAGATGGAAAAAAAAAGGACACGAGTTTTTCTGGAAAAGAAGAAGCAAGCTCCCACAGCATATATAGAATTAGAGGACAATTTTTCCTGAGTCCTACTCACCTTCATCAGACCATCTGAGAGACAGAGTTAGTGACAGCTGAAAAAGAGATGACCGTGAGCAAGGGAAGAGGTATTAAACTGGTTCTTCCCTGAAGAGGGGAAAAAAAAAAGTGACTGGTCATTTACTGCCTGCACAACAGGCACCAGAAGAAGCAAGAGAAGATTATAAATTGCTGTAAAATCAGTATTGCTCCTGGGCCCGTGATTTTAAGTATCAAGACAGCTTCTGAAAATGGTTTGAAGCTCTTCTTCATATACGCTGGCTGTCACAGCAGGCAATGGATGAAGAGTTCCTGTTACAACCTGCTCGGGCTCTGTAAATTGATGCAGATTCACATTTTGCAGGTGGAGCTGGTGATTGATCTGGTGATTCCTGAGAGAGCTCTTCCCTGCCACTGCAGAACCGGGCTCAGAGAAAGCACAGGGAGCGGGTGCAGGTTTGGTAGGAGGAAGGCTGAGTCCATCCCTGCTCCTCCTCCAGTGCTACGCTAAAACATTTTCAGTTTAAAACAGTTTCAGATCACCAAGGGGAAAGGAAGATCTGAACGAAGTAATGCTGTACTCACTAAAACATACAGGAAAACTAAAAAGCAGATCACAACGACCCCAACAAGAGCAGCAGACCTGTTGGGAAGCTTCCACTAGGAATGCAGAACCCCCCAGTCTTCTCCCCTCTCATGGGTGCAAAACGAACTTTTTCCTTAATCACCTGCTAGACTCCAACACTGAGCGACGTCAGTCAAGTCTCAATGAAGACAACTGCTCCCAAAGAGCCCTTCCAGTTGAAGTAGGTGAGTTTTTTTTGACTTTAAAATAAGCTGAGGGGTCTGCTAGGGTTAACTACAACTAGCCAAAACAACTTGAAACCAGAGGGAAGCATCACTACAAAGAAGCCTCCTACTTTTAACTAACCACTGTAAGGTGATGTGAACACCATAGGGTGAAGAGATTTACCTTTCCTTTACCTCTGAGCAGGCAACATCCTTACACCACTGGTTACAACGCTCATTAATACAGGGATCTACTGATCACAGGGATCTACCCATTGTCCTTTAATCCATAGCAAGTTCAGGGGCTGAACACATTTCTTTTAAGTGAATGCAAACATTCCCATGCAAGATGACAGCTTGCAGTGTTTTTGTTCTCAAATGCTACCTGCAGTTTCCAGGACCCCCATCACAAAGGACAACCATCTCACAGGTGGTGGTCTAAAGAAATTTGGCCTTAAGAGCTAATCTGAGCTCTAATGGCAGCTCCAAGTTCTGCTCACATTATATTTACTCTTCCTAGATCATGTTCCAGGTGATAAAGGGGTGAGCCACTGCTGCAAACAGCACTCCCTTCATCACCAATGAAAGTGTGCTCGAAAAACATTAAGTCATCTTTCAATCTTTTCTGAAATGAAAGTCACCTTTCATCTTTTCAGTAATAAGAAAACAGCACATTGTCATCTTTTAGCTGTATTTCTGGTTAATATGCACATCTTACATAATTAATTTCATTAATAAAACCACGATGATAGACTCGATACCAGAATTTCGAGTCACATTGTTACTATCCATGGCAAAATAAGAACCTAGGGATGCACAAAACCAAAGGCTGTTTACTACTGCATGCAACAACAGCCCCAAGAGCATCTCCACCAAAATTAGTGCCCTGTCATACCATGGCAAGTACAAATTGATCAATCATCCTAATCCTAGCACAGAGAAGAATATGAATCATCTACCTTTTAAGTATGAAGAGCAGAAGTGAAGATATTAGGTGACCTGTCAGATCAGAAGCTTGAGACTAAATTAAGGTGCACCTCTTCAGCTCACTCCCTTAACTTACCAAGGCAATGTAGCCTGCCTCCCTGGTAAGGTAAAGACAGACAAACATAAAAACAACCTTACACTAAATTGCAAATATGCTACTCTGCAAGTTAAAGCCCTTCAGTTTTCCTTGGGTGGCACTCAGATGACAAGATGGGTCAAACAGGTCATTTCCCAGTCAGACACTGGCTGCACAACACTACCAAGCTATCAGAGAACAGCTGTTGACAAGACAGTGATCGGAATAAAGATGAAGTGTTCCAGAACCAGACATTTGAGTTCATATTCCTGGCTCTCCCACTGACCACTAATGCAGCTTGAGCAAAATCAAAAGCATTTGTCACTTTGCTGTATCTGGTGTATTTAGTGTGGACCGAGAATTTCCAGCTCAAAAGAGCTCAACAAATTCACATACCACCTCAGGTATGAGTCCGTGGTCGTCTTTGGCACCTCTATAGTAACAAGCAGAAAAAGTGCAGTCAGATGAAGGACGAGGACCAGTAGAGTCTTTCAGATGATGCTAAATCTGTCTCCAAATCATCTGAGGTAACAGACCCTCAAATACTCTGGCAGTTGTGCCTACCGGGCTGGACAGAGGGTGCTGCAGAATACCAAGGTAGCTACTGGGAAATTAACTGATCTCTATCAATCCCACAAAACTCAGTGTGAATATATGGCTATTTCCTCCCAGAGGACAATAAACTGTGAGTAGTTGATTATGGCCCCCAAAAACTGCAACAGGATAATAAACCAGGAAGGACAGACTGTCAAAACTTACGGTGATAAATAGAGACAAAGAACATATCTTTATGATTTTGCAACTCATCTGAGGAGATGAGACTCCCCCCCAAAACAGGTCACTGTCCTGAGAGTACTTTTGACCAACAGCAGCTGGTGTCACAACGCAGCTGCCAGACACCCTCTGGAGACACGCACATCGGAAGGCTTCTCCTAAGCTGCATTATGATTTAGCGAAACGGAGACAATAACAGATTAAAACTTTAATTTAAAACTTTGCCAACAAAAAGTGATTACAAAAAGGGAAATTATCTGTACAAAATAAGAAAGGAGGTACTCGTTTAGCAAGAGACTGCCGCTGTCAGTGTACGTTGGAGGACAAATAGTGCTTCAGGTCAAATGACAGGTGAGAAACGAACAAAGTGAATTTATAATATGGAATTCTACAGTGAATCTTCCATACAGCAATGTAAATTGACTTGAAGCGGCTCAAAGCAAACCAGGACTTACCAGAAGCCAATTTTCCTCACAAATCCTTTCCCTCTTAATTTATAGAGGGAGGATGCACTAACAAAGCAAGACCCAGCACACCGCATATGGCCAGGACAAGGACTTTTGCCGTGCTTCCTCCCACTCATGCCTTCCTTCTGTAACAAAGGAGCTGTGCAAGGTGAGTGTACCGGAGTTTCAGCTGAGTCACAGGCTACTGCATCTTCACTTTGCAGTTAGGTCCTGACTCAAAACGAAGACGAAATGAAGACAAGGTAATACAGGTGTGGAGGCAGTGATATTTTATGACTAAAAAGACCAGTTGCACCGGGACTCCTCTAAAACTGATGGTTCGGAAACTTTTCGAGTTGGCCATCAAGTAGCAGGTGCCGGTCAACAACAAATTAGTATTTACAACACTGAAGTCCTCTTTTCCACCCACTGTTTTCTACAGAGACAGACGGAGATGAGAACATCTTCAAAACTTATCACTGAATGGACAGAAATAGCAAGTTCTCTCTGAACTCCACGCTCCTGTACAATCTAAGCACTCACTGTGGTCATCACCAGTTTTCCACATTTGTCCACAAGCCAGATCAACAAAAGGGAGCTGCAACAATGACACGGAGCATGCATATTTTGCAAGCAAGCCAACTGAAGACTTCCAGTCTGACTGCTGATTTTCCACCCAGTTTCACATCAAGAAGTATTTACAAGTTTATCAACCTTCATTAGCCACGTTTAGTGAAGGAAAAAAAAAAAAAGGAGTAATAAAAGCGTTCTGGCCCAGATTCACTTCACCTACTTATCAATACCTGAGATACCTATGTTGGGGCAGAACAGCCTGCTGTGCCCTACCCACCCAGTAAAAAGAAAGACAAAAAGCAAAAGGGAAATTCAAAGACTTGAATCTCATCCTAGTGACGGTGCTTTTTCCTCCTATAAAAAAAAAAATGGGCAACCATATTCCAACTTAGCTTAAGTGTCAATCACATGAACCTAAGCCTTCCATTTTCACTAGCAGCTCCCACCCAGGGAAGTTGAGGGATGGTTACTTTTTTTTTTTTCTTTTTTAAGAATCCTAAGAGACATGCACGAGTCCTCCTTATAACTGGGAAAACTGAGATAAGTAATAAGTTTGCTCGAATTCATACAGTGAGTCAGTAACTAGCTAGCGTTACAGCTTCCTGGATCTCAGCCCTGTGCTCTGCCCACAGGAACCCAGTACTAGGAAACCTGCACAGAATCATTTCCCTCTCCATGTCAAAAAGCTTTACAAGAAAAATACAGATGCTAATAAATAGTGTACATAGTTTCTCATTCACCAGTGAGAGTCCTGTAGTAAAAAAAAAATCTGTTCTATTTTATCTTGAACCTGGAAAAGTTTATTTCCAGCTTTGATTCTTTGATGTCTTAAAGCTTTTAAGAGAAAGTCGTAGATTCAGTTAATATAAACATAATGCTGTAGTCAGAACCCTTTAACCACAATGATATGTTACATTTTCTAGCTGTAAATTACTATTTGTGCTATCCAATTTTACAATCAAAACAGAAACCTTGAAGCCAAGAATTCAAAGATCTCAGGAAGAAAACAATCCAGACAGCTTCAATTTAAGTAGAGCAAGCCCTGTACATGACATGAAGAATTTATCATTTCAGTTCTGAGTATCTGTTATTGCCATATCAAACGAAAGCCCTCTTTTCCTTAGTCTTGCCCATCCCGTGCTGTAGCAGGTTGGACAAATGATGCATGGCAAGAAAAAACTGCTCTGGAAATATAGCTTAATCATGGAAATAAAACATTTGTACTTTACTTTATGAACACGGCACAGAAATATCGCTTAAGTAATGTTTCCAAAGACCCTGGGACTTCAGCACAGCTACGAAAAAGTCAGCTTCCTAAACACTGGGGTTAGTTTGATCCAACTGCCATACACCAGATTCTTACTTCTACTCCGCAGCTTAAGCTTTTAATTACCAGGTGGGACAGAACATGGTTAGCTTGCTCCATCGCATCACAGAAGGAGATGGCAAAATGGATGCCTGTTGTGACAGACAGACAATACTGTACAAAGGCAGCTTTTTTTTTTTAATGGCAGAATCAAACTGGATACTACTGGACAACCTGGAGTAAGATCTACATTTTTTCCCTTCTGGACTTTGTAATTTTCTCTTGCACTAGAAAAATTCTTCCCAATCGGTTATATCCAACAGCACTACAGAGAGCTCAGTTCTTTAGCAAGCTCTGCACCAGGAAGGATCAGTCCTAGAAGCAATTAAAAACAAGGAGTTGCTGTTTCCCAAGGGCAGATGTTTTTCACTGGTCACCTAGCCGGAAACCTTGGCCCCAGTTGTGTCTTCCACCACCCTGCTGATCTTCTGCAGCTCTTCTCATGCTAGCAGGTGGGACACCAAAGCCCGACACTCCTCCTCTCCTGTTTGGCAGCCAGCGGTACCTAGGACGAGCCAGAAGAAAAGAAGTTTAAGAAATAGCTGGACCTTGGGGGTAATTTCCAGACAATTTTTCCATGGACTTCCTTTCAGCTGCTAGACTTTGCATTAAAGCTAGCTTTTGATAGCAGTACCCCACAGGATTCTTTCCAAATTTAAGACCCCAGTACACTGAGAAGTAGAAATCCTGGGGAACTTACATCCCTAGGATGTGGTTATATGAACAATGATCCAAGCAAAGGGAAAAGACGGGTGATAAGGGAGTCTCATTGTTCAGAACAAATGCTGTGATATAAACTTAATTCCCCTAACTTCTCTTCCTTTTCCTGGAGAAGTAATAAAAAAACAGCAAATTACTTATGAGCATCTCTCTCCAGTAGTTACAAAGCTCCTGCTACCACAGCATCCAATTAGTTCACTGCTCCCTAAATAAACCTTCCTGCAGAACTGTGGACCAGAGACCAAGGGAAACAGGCTCAAGCACACAGCATTTTTGCTGAAATCAAAGTTCAAGTGACCTGCCCAGTGCAAATCAGGGCTTAAGACCTTCTCATCCAACTTAGGCTACACCAACTAAACATAGGAATCTAAAACACAGCTTCTGCAGATACCAGTGGGATGTCTGGGATGCTATCACTGCAGAGTCATTTCAGGTCTACAATAAATAGTTAATTATGCTGAGCCCCTGGAAAGCTCTTCCTGAATCTCTTCAAGAAAATCTGAGCCCCAAACATAAAAACCAGATTCCTTTATAGAAGAAAAATGATCCCGTATAATCTTCGTTATACTAAATGTATCTGTAATTCATGACAGCAGCTTTTCCTTTTTTATAAAACTTTACAGTACAGAAGCAGAATTTATTTCACTCTAGAGGTGTTTTCAGTACTTCTATTCCTGCTTCTCAAATATAGAGAAAAATTAAATACACATATGAGGAATCAAGAGAATTGCATATAATCAACAAGATTGATGGTAGTTTCAGAGCTGTTATTACCCTGAAAGACATTTTAAAGCAACATTTGTCTTCTAATCTTTAAGGAAAACCAGCTTTAGCAGTAGGGCTTGCAAACAGAAAGCTTCCCTTCTCGTTAAAACTTGAAGAGGAAATATAATGGCAATTCAACTTTGCATCTTTTAACCTTTTTAAAGGACAAACTATTAATTAATTGAATTGCTAACTAAGGTTTGGTGGAGAAAAAAAATATTTACAACCCAAAAGGGATGAGGACAAGGGGAACTGAAGCTACAATCTTCAGCTTCTGATCTTAATATTTCAGTGCCAAAAAACAATGATTAAGTTACAAGGAAAGCACTTCAGAATCCAAGACCTGAAGTCTCAGTCAAGGTGACTTGTACCAACTGCAGAGCTGAGTTCGTATTATGGCACTTCAATCTGCAACAGACTTCTGTTGCTGTTACAGCTTGCTAAACTGGTAGCTATTGCAATGATACACGGACATACAGATAAAAGATCACTTACAAGAGAAAATTTTAAAAAGAATGTGATGGATTCTTTCTGATAATTGGTAGGGAGGTCACTTTACTATAGTTTAATTCACTATCAGAGGTATAACCTTTACTCTTGTTCTGAACAGTGGGTAAAGGACACGAGCCACCTGTAGTGGTAACAAAGAACACTGGCCATCTGCAAGAAACTCAACATTTTTGAGGGCTCTATCTATACACAGCAACACAATCACTACCATAGTCTGAAGCAGACTAAGTTTAACAAAGTATTTTACAACTTGCAATCCTAGCAAATTTATGTCCTTATAAACAACCCAAAAATCGGTCCAAATACACAGTGAGACAAAGCATAAAGCCAGCTTACAAGAACTGAGGTGTGGACAGAAAATTCCTTCCTCCCAAATCCATCGGGTATTTGAACATTAAGAAGAAATACAGGTGTCCAACCAGATTTCCTATCAGCTCATTGATGACTCTGCAAAGCAAAAGAAAAAAAGAGGAGTTTCACATGCCATCTTCCACAAAAAGAACTGAGTGACCATCTTCTGCCAGCTACTATTGTTCACCTGCCACGGGCTCTGCCAGGGCCATGAGCCACGGAAAATTCCCCTTTCCTCAGCATTTTGCAGCCACTTCTTTAGAAGGGCCAGCTTGCAGTGCCAACACATCAGCAGGCTGTTCCACCCTCCCTTCCAAGCCATCTCTGCAGACTGTACTGAAAATGCAATTAAATGCTTGTTTACCTCAGGGAATTAGACCGTATAGCTATTAGTGTCTGAAATAATAGTCTGCAGAGCTTGAGAAGTTACGGCTGTTTTCACTGGACAACCTGTCTCCCGCTGTACTGTTTTGTTCCCAATTGTGCAAGAGCACTGCTGAATGGAGGCCCTTGAGTATTTGCTGTCATGCATAGAAACAGCAGGTATCTAACAGCAAGCAGTTTTCTCGAGTGACGAATGAGTCAGTGGGAGGCACAGCCAGGAAAAGGGAATTTGGTTTTGCTGCACTCGTATCTCCTCCTTTTATAAACCCAGCACATCGCTTGCCACTGTCACCAGCTGTGCTACAGCGTCACCAAGAGGCCCCCGTCAATACAGGGCACCGGTGGGAAAGGCTGAGCACAAAGAGGGGATTTCTGCATCAGAGCACTTAAAGAAATGCAGGACCAACCAACAGATAGAGAAAGTGCTAATATGGCACCCCACAGGCTTGTTATTGCCATTTCCCTTGTTTCACAAGCCGATAAAAGCATCACGCTGAAGGAGATTCTGATGGAACAAAGTAACAACACTTATCAGAGGCAAGCTAAGTTGTTTCTAAAACCAGTAATAATGGCTCATCACATGGGATGAAATCTTTCTTCACTGGGCATCATGCTTTTAGCAAGGAAAAGGCCTAACGCATGGATCTACTAGAACATAAATCAAATTTTTTTACTTTTTCCTCACCTACACTCTCTAGTTCTCACATCCACATCTCCCTCTTTATGTTTATCTTAATCACCATATGACACTGAGAAGGATCAGTCCAATTATACAACTTTAAGCCTCTTATTTTAATATTGCTGCTAAATTCAGCAATAAGAAATAGCTGTAAAACCCTTTATCACTTCAAATCGGTCACATCTGTAAATACGTACGATCCACCAATGATGTAGTTGAATCCCAGGATAACCCATGGAAGGTAACAGGCCTGAAAAATAATGCAGAATATGTAAATTCAAGTAGATTACTACTTAAACCTGCTCAAACTCCACTGCACTAGTATGTATGATGAGAATCTCAACGTTTTAGCATCACACAAATCCTAATATATTAAGTAGATTCTAACTAATAAGGTAGAATACTCTAAACTGAGTAATCACTAACATGCTTAGACAAATACTGACTTAAATATTTTAAGTACGTGTGCCTTTTGCAGTCTATGTTTCATGCCAAGCTTACATCTGAAACAAAGTCCTAACATTTCTGACTTTGAAAAGGCCTGGAAACAACAATCAAAAGAGTTTTTACTACAACACCTGGCAGAAACTGACCAAGCTGCATAGGAAAGCGCAATTTAAAAAAACAGCATTTCGTTACTGCTATTCAGCTTTTAGCCAGGTTAATGTTTTATCAGAATTTCTTTTTTTTCCAGACAAGTGAATTTCAGTAGTCAGGGTATCTTTTCAGCAAAGCCACACTGAGTGACACCATATGGAAGACCAAGAGACTTGTCTCTGCTGCTTCTAAACAAGTGTATAGTTTTATGAGAGCATGGGACATCTTTAAAGGGAGAAAATACTTATATTTTGTCCCTCAATCCCTTCACATGCATCTTCCAGGCAAAAACCTTTCCAACAACCTGTTTGATTTACCTTAAATCTTGTTCCAAACCAAAACGATACGATCATGTCTCTGTTCAGCTGGGCCCATACGTAAAGTACTGACATGATGAGTGGAATCATCAGCAACTGTAATATTAAAAACAAAAGAAAAGAGGCAAAAAGTTACCATAACGTTCACGGAAGTCTGAGAAACTTAGACAGCAAGGGGCTAGAAGGTTCAAAAATGGTTTAAAAGAATGATACATCAGCGAAGTCTTTAAAGATTGCCCCAGAAACTCTGCCACCACACATCGTGGTTCTGCTCACAAGATCAGGAAGCTAAACAAGAGAACCTCCTTGGTCATACTCTTTTGCTGTGCTGGAAAACACTTTGTTAATGAAGACAGTGCCCTGTTAGGCTACAGTATGATAGCTTGGTTGAGTACAGAAGCCAAAATAGGTGGTGCGATTCCTAATATAGGTATAAAATGATTAAACACATGTTAAAAATACCTATGTCCTGAATATACGACCAGATGTTAACTTCTCAGTTTTAATACACACAGGTCTATGCTTCAGCACAGAGCAGTGGAGACACACCAAAGGAATCTCAGGCTGTGAAGCTGTGTAGCTACAGCAGGACAAGAGCAAAGCAAAGGGCTCCAAAGCAACCTGCACTATGTAGAACAGCAGCCGTGGCCAATTCCAGTGCTCCCAGCTGCTGGGTAGCACACCTACAACAATCAGCAACGTTTGTGCCATGATCGTTTCTGTTTACAGTCCAAGGCAGTAACCCCAACACATCCTCATCTGGGGCTAAGGCAGTGTATCAGAGGTGTCACGGCAGAGCATCGCAACCTGATTAGGCAAAGCTCTTGGAAGAGCTTCAGGTCACCCCCTGCTCCATGCTGGGAGAGGAGCCTGTTCCTAATACTGCCCCCTACTGTGGCTGTACTTCAGCTGATTGGAGTATTTTGGTGAAACAGATAGAAAGGGCTATTTTAGGTACCTGCTGCTGATTTCTGAACAAAAAAGAGTGTGCAACCAGCACTGCCATAACCAGGCGTAACACCACAAACCAGCCTGGGTGACTGGAAGAGAGGATAAAACTCATCCCTTCAAGGGTGGCACTAATCCACAGGCTCCGCTTTAAAGCTGGCATACCAGAGCCAACCCGGCCTTCCCCGAGCCTGAAGTTTCACCAGCCTGAGTCTGACTCTTCACACAAGTACCTTAAATTCTTTATTAAAATTATTTTTATTTCAATGAAAAACAAATGTTTCTCAAGTATTTGACATAGGAGGCCCAGATGTTCTACTCTATCATCTCACTTTTCAAGTCATTCATTCTACACAAGCAAAACCCTAATTCTAACAAAAATACATACCTATACCAAACAATTTGGCCCTCTTTTGAGCAGTATCTTGTGTGCAGACTTAAAAAAAAAATTAGCTTTATTTTTAAAAAGATACAAATCAACAGAGTCTAAAATTCAAACAGCATGACATCAGCCTTTTTTTGAACAATTTGGTGGAGTCTTCCCCACAGCAAAAGAGAATGAACTGCAAAATTATGGACATCCCTTCACAGAATTCAATCCTGACTGCAGATGCATAATCATTATTTCTGTCTACCAGAGGAGCCCGATAAATGATCTCATAAATACTATGATAATCTTGCACAGAGTATTGGAGATATTAGTGCAGGCTTTGGGTGATGGGGACAGAAATAAGATGAGGATGGAACAGCAGAGGCAGGCTGAAGGCACGCAGTTGTATCTGATACTCTGTTGTATTCAAGAAATGCTTCTTTTATTTCCACCCCCCTTAACATCTGGGCAGATAAGAGCTCCCTCATTGAAACTCCTTCTTCAGACTGCTATTTAATCATTCTTGTGAGGATTTTGCACTTCACAGTTCTGATAGGAATCTGAAGCTGTACTTTTCACAAAAAGAGCTGCTGTCAGCAAGTAGAAGGACTGAATTTGAGAAGACTAACAAACCCAGGAACCATTTTTAGCTTTAAAAAAAAAAAAAAAGTAAGAATGCAGATCCACATTCATTAGAGGAAACAGTACATGGATGAAATCTTGGGTCCACATCAGTCACAGGCAGAAACTTCCTGACTGTTAAAGCTGCTTCTCGCTCCTTGACTCCCTAACTAGGTTATGGATGGAAGATTCAGAAACGAGCTTGTGATGGCAGCTGAGGTTAACCCAAACTACTCAAACTCAAAAAGAAACACTACACACAAAGCCAGTCCCTTTTGACATAAACTAAACCAACCTACCTTAAGTATGCTCTGTGTTTATGTAGATAATGCTGGCTAAAAAGCCATTAAATAGTCTGAGACCCTCATTAAATAGTCCGAAAGCTGAAGACTTATTTTTAAAAATCTGCACTGCACTTACCTGCATGTCCATGGCCAAGCCAGTTATCTGTCATTTTGCCTTTAAGGAAAAAGCAGCAAAACCTGACAGACTTGAAGGAGAAAAAGAAGCTACACACACACTGAACATAAATGGGAAGGCCTTTAATTTTAATGCTTACAATGAAAACAATGTTCTTGGGAAGTATTAAGTCAGGCACTGGAAAAATGAAAAACCTCCAGTGATCTACAGACTTGCACACTTAGCTTGAAAGGCTACTGAGAAGTGATTGATGTACACGAACTATCACCTCAAGCCATTACCCCAGCAGCTGGCAGATGCGCTGGCCTCCCTCCACGATGAAACTGGCCAGCTACAAACTCAGCCAGTCCTTTCATAACAGCAGGTCATTTCTTCCACTAGTTTTTGGTGCTTTGTTTGTATTATAAAGACTAAAATGCCTTTGTAACAAAAGAAATACCAAATCAGACAAAAATATCTAATATTGCCACTAGGTCACAGAAAATGAATGATTTCTTAAAGACATTTTTAACATCACTTTCCTGCCTTGGAACTCAGACGGTTTGCTTGCTGTAGAAACTGCTGGGCAGAAACAATTACTGAAGAATTTTGCTATGATCAGAATGTTTTCAACAGTTCACGAACGCACGTACAATGGCACCGAGCTCCTTCCCAGCTCAGGCATCCAGCTCGCCCCTTACATCATCTATGCAACAAGCACCTGGAAGCTTTCAAATGACCACTTTGAATGTCAAGACACAATCAGACTCCTCTCATAGCTCACAGCCAGCAGCCTGCAACCACAACGAGGCTGATGGGTTTCTTAACAACACAACTAAACACAGGTTGCTTTCCCAGTACAGCTGCGGCTCAACAGGACTAGCAGGAATAACAATTCCCTCTCCATGCAGTGGAATGTAACCAGAGATGGTTACTCTATTGATAAAGGCAGCAGCATTTCTACACAGTAGCTTGCCCGGCTGTATCTGGTTCATGCTACCAGTGCTCCCTTTTTATTACCAGTTGTGCCACTGCAAATTGCTGCAAGGAGGCCAGGAGTGGCACAAACAGAACAGGAACGCCTCCAGGGATGGAGATTCCACACCCTCTCTGGGCAGCCTTCACCTGTCTGTGACCAGTGCCACAATAAAAAGGTTCTTTCTAAAGGTTCTTCCTTGTATTTAAATGGAATTGTCTGTGTTTTATTTTGTGTCTGTTGCCCCTCGGTCTTTCTGAGGACCAGAGAAGTCTGGCTCCTCCTTTAATCCTTCCCCATTAGGTAGCTAACCACGTGGATGAACCCCTGGACCTTTTCTTCTCCCGTGCTGCATTCCCAGCTCCCTCAGACTCTCCTCATACAATGTTCCAGCTCCTCAGCCATCCTTACAGTCCTTCACCGGACTCGCTCCAGTCTGTCCGTGCTTCTCCTGTACCAGAGCTGGGCAGAGAGGAGCCACCACCTCCCTCAACCTGCTGGCAACACAGCCCAGGCGGCTGTTGGCCACCTTTGCCACAAGGGCACGTTGCTGGCTCCTGGTTAATTTGCTGCCCTCCAGGAGTGCCGTGGCTTTTTCTGCACAGCTTTGCAGGCAGCAAGTCCCCAGTCCGTCCTGGTACATGGGGCTGCTCCTCCCCAGAGGCAGGACTTTGCACTTTCCTCTGCTGGGCTCCCCAAAACTCCTGACCAGCCCATTTCTCCAGCTTGTCAGGATCCCTCTGAGTGGCAGCACAACCATCTGCTACCAACAACTCCCAGTTTTGTGTTTGAAACCTAAGGAGACTCAGGAAGTTGGCTCGGTGCAGACGTCTCAGCACTGCTTTCACAGCCTTAGCTGACTTGTACCCAGCAGGTAAGGGTTGAGGTTATGAGGTAACCCCAAATTCCCAACTGAGGGAACAGCAGAGATCAGACCTGCTTGCACGTGGCAGCTTAAGCACACTAAGTTCACTCCTAACACACGCTGTAAGCCACAGAAGTGGCTACTGGAAGTAATACAGTGAGCACTACAGAAGCTCTTGCAGCACGAGTGAAGCTTTACGAAACACAACTCCACTCCTCAAACTACAAACCTGTGTTAGCACACGTATTACTGCTGTCCCTGCAAGCCACTCACTACGTTTCCAGAAAGACAGAAGTTTACCTGTAAACATTTACTACATTGTAGAACTGTTAGTTGCTAAAACTTGTTTTTTTGACATATTTCAGACAGAAATATTAGAGCCAAAATATTCTAAAAGCTTCATGATATGATAAACGGAAGGATACAACAATGCAGATCCAGTTGAACAGGAGCATGAACATGTAATCTGCTGGCCTTCCATCAAAAGCCCCTGGAAATAAAAAGAATTGTTAGGACAGGTGTGGTATCTTGGTTAAAAAATTAAGACTTCATCTTCAGAAGTCTAAGAAAACTTCAGATGAGAATTACACTAACTACTGCCAGTGGTTTATTACTTTTATTTTTTAAGTTTAAAAAGCTTTATAACAACCTTCAAGACCAAAATTTAAGACCTATTGCATTAAGTGCACACACAACAGCTCTACTAAAAAAAACAACATACAAACAAACAACATGCTAACTATGGAAATAAGTAGTTTTTACTTCACAAGACTTCAAATTGGAGAAGTTGCCAGTCAGAAGCACACAATAAAAAAGTGTACATATAGAGCAAAAATAGAGACGCAAAGTTGATCAAGTCACATGAAAGCTACTCCTTACTTAGGCAAATTGCATCCTTTTTGCATCATCTGGTCAGGCTCAAGAGATGTGAGTTTTTACACTCCAGGGAAGTTAATGTATGTGGCAGAGTATAAACGTGCCATGCATTCTGTTCCTTCTTCCAACCTGACCTGCTTGTCTGATTGCCTGTTTAAAACATGTCAGCTTTTTCCAAGACAGTGGAAAAAAAAAAACAATAACATTCCCTGCAGGTCACAGAAAATGAAATTATCTTTTGATGCCCTCTTCAGTTTATGACCTGGCAGAGAGAAGGGTTAAAAAACAACCCCCCAACGCTTTGTGAACATGAAAATTACAGGCTCTCAATCTTGCAATCCGTGGCACAGACCTCAGCATTTGAGCCAGATTCCTATCAACTTCCATATCACCTCACACAGGCAAGGAAAGACCAAGAATTCTGCTGAAACAGACCCAAAACACCACAAGCAAGCTGATTTTCTTGCTAATAAACATCAAAATACCCCGAAAGGACACTGTAATATTAGCACAATGTGGCTTCCTGCAACTATTTTACAGGTCTTCAAGAATCTAAAGAAAACATACCCATTTTTAGCATTTTTTTTAAATAATTGGAGTGACTCAGCTTGTGTAAAAACACTAAAATGGCAACCTTGTTTTAAGTTTATTATTTAAGTTTAGCCACGCAAGTTACATGACAGGAAAAAACAAAAACACTTTGAAGAAGTCTTCTGGAAAGTTTTAAAGCTGGAGAGCTCCATCAATTGGAGTTTTCTCCTTATTGTTGCCATACAAATGAAACAAATAGAAAGGAAGCTGACTAACACTGCAGAACCTCCAAGCAGATGAATTCCTCCAGAACATGAAGAAATAAAGGAAATAAAAGTTTTTAATAATATCTCATTATTTAGAAGATGAGTAACTAGCAAGACAATTTAAGATGTATTTCCAATTCATATTTAAGAAAACTGAGCTACAGGCTCCCAAGAAGCTCAGCACAGGACTGAGGAGCCCACTGCATTCAGCAGGGCCCAGGAGAAATCCAGCACCTGGCGAGGAGCTGCAGGCTCAGAATCTCATCATTCATACTGCTGGCAACAATGAATATTCCCACTGCGATCTCCCTGGTGGCATTTGTTACATTCTTCACCACCAGAAACAAAGCAAAACCACGTCAATCCCATTCTCCTCAGGTAGCTGGACATCAGCTCATTAGGAAAACACAACCACAGTATAAAGCCATATGGTTGTGGTGGTTTTTAAACAACTGAAGCTCTTCCCTTAATAAATTTGAAGTTAGCACGCAACACTAGTGCATGCTCAAAGCCGTGTACAACCCCGAAAACTGTAATTTCACCTCCTCAGTTTCACTGATAGAAGGAGGCAGGTCTATGCTGATTTCAACCTTTAAACGTATCAGCAGCTTACACACAGCAACTTCCCACTTGCAGAAGTGCAAAGGATCCGAGAAGTTTTTGCAGAAAGGAAGCACTGAGCTAATCCAGAACTTCGGTTACACTAAGAAAAACTAATCTTGATCTTGCAGGTGAACTGCATTGCCTCACACAACAACACAGCTGACTTCTCAGCTTCAAAATCCAGATGTATGTGGCAGGGATGTAAATTCACTGCTGAAAGACCTGACTTCCTTCCATGAGCCACCTGCCACAGCAGAGATAACTACACTATTTTTTTTAGTATAAGCAGTGATGTCTTATGATTTGCGTATATTGATCAAGAACTCTTATTTCATGTAGCATGTGTTCATAACCTTTTACACCAAAAGGCTTAAAGAGAAGGAGGAGCTGGTTTTAGCAACTGAACTGCCGCGTGCTTTCATTGAGAAACACACAAATGCAATGGGCACCCTCCTCCATTTCCCTGTTACTCGTCTTATGACTTAAAAAAGGGATCCCACAATGCTCTCTGGATGACAGGTCGACTGCGGACCTCTTCTCCACCCACAGGGGTTCCCAAATTTCCTCCATTTCCACTTATACCATCAGGTCTAAGGCTCCATTAAAACTACACTGGAATTATGTTCATAAATGCTTTCAGTGTTTTTCATTTTTTTCCAGTTTGGCTTCCTAAATTTACTTGATTTGAAATACTTTTTGCTAGATTTAATGAACTCTGTGATGCAAAAAAGTCCCACGTGAAGCTGCCTCATAACAACAATCTCTTTTTAGAGATAGAAAACCCACGAGATCCTAAATATTTTCACATTCCTATTTGACTAAAGGGTACGCTTCATTTGTACAAAGGTCTCTCTCAATGCAACATATGCTACAGAACAATACAAGTAAGCCCCATTGCTTTCAAAATAAAAGGAAAAGCTGAAACGGTTACAAATTACACATGCACTACCATACTTTAATGTTAAAGGACATAAGATACAAGAAAAAAGAAGTGAAGCTGTCTTCTTGTCTCTCTCCCTCGTTTCCTGAAATCAATGATTAGAAGCACCACGCCTTCCCATTGAAAGGAAATATCACGTTCAGATCCTAAATGAACAAGCTCTGTGCCACAGGCAAAGAGGCAGTGAAACAAAATCAGTTTTTAGAGCAGTTTTCCCTTTGACTGAGAGAAGTGGGCACAGAGATGAGCCATCTTCCTCCCAGTTCTATCCAAACCTGCCACAGTCCCATCATCAATCCCAACAGAAGCTGTTTGGCAATGCTTGGTCTCTATCAACTCCAGGCAGAGTTTCCCACATGCACACACCTTCACGGACAACGTACCTGTTTCTAATCGTGATGAATATTGGTACAGGAAATACAAATTCACCAAGTAGAGAAAACCTGTCCCGGGTCCCACTGGGAAGAAGAAAGTTGCAGTTATCGGCCGCCAGATCTGTCCAGAGAAAAAGAGAAGGACACGTTTATACATTGCAGAATGCATTCATATGCACAGCTTTTCTTGTTCTGCCTTGCTACCAATTAATTACAAAAACAAAAAAAAATGGAAAAGCAACTACTACTGCTTCAACAGCCTCTGCAGTTGGTTTTTAATCTGATAAGCAAAGCTGTTAAGACTACAACTGAAGTCACCCAACTTTCAGGAGCACTTCCATCACATCTTCACAGTACTGAGTCTTTATCGTGGTGCAAAAGAGGTCTGCTTGCAAGGATGTTGGCCTGTTTTAAAGGCATCTGTACGGAACCCTCACTAACCTGTTTGAGGCAGGATCTCACAAGCAGCCTTCAGCATATGTTTTCAGACAGCACAAGCTACTCTGAGCTTTTTCCTTCCTGCTGTAGAGTCTCTCAGCCATCGGTATTATGCACAGAGAACGGCAGCACGTAGCCAGGATAGAAAACCTTTGGCCACTTAAGAATGAGCTCGATATTGAATGGGCAACATTTCCAAATAGCTCTTTAGGCTCCTGAGCATCATAGTTCCAGAAGGATCAACAGAACCACAGAAAACACAGTCACTTAAGCTATTACATTTTGGGGAAAATACATGAAGCAAACAGACAGCAAGGTTTTTTTCGTTGTTGTTGTTCGCTCAGTCTGTTTTGCTAGTGATGCAATGAGCACATCTAAACTTAAAGGAGGGGCGATCTTCGCTTCCTTCACTTTCATTTTCAGTTCAACCAGGGGGCAATCCACTCAAACACCTGCGTACCAAAAAAATGAACCTGTGACCTCCTAACAGGAGAAGAAAAGACCGCGTCTGCCTTGTGAGCAGCCTCAACACTTCTAACACAGAGGACCGATGTTATTCTGAAGCTCCAGGACTTCAGCAGTCAACTTACGTCAGCCATACCCAGGCTGACAACCCCCAAACACGTCCTTTTACGTTCAGAACACGAACATAAAGCGCTAAGGGCCACAAAAAGCACTTTTTATGCATAAAATTTACCCTGACATCCCCAGACCCAGCTCACTCTGGGGGCAGCTGCGTGCCTGCCTGCTCACCCACCGCAGCACAACAGGGGCCAAGCACGTCACCTGCAGCTACCGCCACGCTTTTTATGATTTTAAGCACGAAAACACGAGGATGAGAGGTGAAAAACTCCAAAAAGCGAAACCTCGCCCCCCTGCCTGCCTCGCAGGGGCCGTGCAGACCCAGCCCGTGTCACCTTGGGGGCTGCAGGGCGGGGGCCGGCCCCAGCACAGGCCGGTGCAGGAGGGCTCAGCCCCCCCTCAGGCCGGGGAAGGGCCGGGTGGGCGCCCGGGGCTGTCCCGGGGGGTTTCGCCCTCACAGAGGGGCCAAGCCCCGGCTTGGAGCCCACCGCCCCGCCGCCGCGCACTACAACTCCCAGCGTGCCTTGCGCGCCGCACCCCTTTGGTTTCTATGGGGGCGCGGCGCGAGGCACGCCGGGAGCTGTAGTGCGGCCCGTACCTGGAAGCGGTTGATGAAGGCGTCGGGCCACAGGAAGAGGTAGACGGGGCTGACGAGGCCCAGCTTGCCGACCAGCGGCACCGCGATGGAGCCGGCGAACCAGTAGCGGGTGATGAGCGGGATGCTCCGGAACCAGTCGCCTAAGTCCGACATGGCGCCGCCGAAGCCTCCCTCAGGTGAAGGGAAGGGAGCGGCGGGGCCGGGGCCGGCGGAGGAGGAGGAGGGAGGAAGGAGCCGGGGGGAGGCCCCGAGCCCAGACGTGGCGCCGCCGAATTCGGCCCCGCCGCCGCCGCTTCCGGCCCCGCCCCGCTCCGGAGCCCGTTGCCAGGTGACGGGCGGGCTCCGCCACCCGGCGGGGCGAAAACTACATCTCCCAGCACCCCCCGCGGCTGCCAGGCGGGGACTGTTCCATCCCATCCTATCATCGGGGGGGATTAACCCCCTCCGTTTCCTATTTCCCCCTATGGACAAAGCGGGGTTGGGCCGTACCATTCGCGCGGCCCCCCCCTCCCCCTTTGTGGCGGCCGTTTAGCCCGGAGGATGCCGAGCCGGGAGCTGGGCGGCCGCAGCCAGGGCCCGCTGTGGGGCCGCGGGCCCGGCCAGGCGGCGGGCGGCGGGTAACGGCCGCTGGGGAGCCCTGAGGCGGCTGAGGGGAGCTGAGGGGGACGGGGGGGTGGGGGGGAGGGCTCAGGCAGCGGGCAGGGCCGTGGGGCAGCTCCCCGGTGGGTCGTGGGGGGGTGGAGTGAAGTTAAATCGAGTTAAATTGAGTTAAATTAAGTTAAATTAAATTAAAATTTAATTAAATTAAAATTTAATTAGATTAAAGCGATCTGGAGGCAGGCAGGAGGACTGGGGGTGGGCTACAAGCGTCCAGGCCTGGTGTGGGCGGCCCGAGGGGCCCCCAGAGGGACCTTTTCCTCTTAAATTCCCCCAAAACTTTCCCTAAATTATCCCCAAATCCCTCCTGAATTCTCCCTAAATCCCTCCAGAGCTATCCTGAATCCCTCCTGAATTTCCCCTGAGTTATTCCCTGGTTTTGTGACCCGCCTGGGGCATTCAGGTGACCCAGCACTCAGCTCCCCCCCTCAGACCTTACAACATTAAACCAGGAGAAGTAACCGCAGCGCTCCACCTGTCAGCGTATCGCTGTAACGGCGCTGGGAGCGATGCCTCACCTGGGTAATGAGGGATTTAGCAACACCGTGGTTTGTACTGGAAGCGTGCCACCAGCAGGAGCAGGGAGGTGATCATCCCCTGGACTCAGCTCTGTGCTCAGCTCTGGGCCCCTCAGTCCCAGAAGGACATCGAGGCCCTGGAGCGTGCCCAGAGCAGGGCTACGAAGCTGGGGAAGGGCCTGGGGCACAAATCCTGTGAGGAGCGGCTGAGGGAGCTGGGGGTGGTTGGCGTGGGGAAGAGGAGGCTCAGGGGAGACCTCATTGCTCTCTGCAACTACCTGAAAGGAAGCTGTGGGGAGCTGGGGGTCGGCCTCTGCTCACAGGTAACCAGTGATAGGACCAGAGGGAATGGCCTCAAGTTGTGCCAGGGGAGGTTCAGGTTGGAAATGAGGAGACATTTCTGCTCAGCAAGAGCAGTCAGGCACTGGGACGGGTTGCCCAGGGAGGTGGTGGAGTCCCCGTCCCTGGGGGTGTTCAAGGAGAGGTTGGACGTGGTGCTTGGGGACATGGCTCAGTGGTGACATTGGTGGTAGGGGATGGTTGGAGCAGGTGACATTGGAGGGCTTTCCCAACCATAATGATTCTGTCACTCCACCTTATCCTCTGTGTAACCAGGAGTGTGAAGTGTGTAGTTGGCCATGTGATCTTTCAGATCGTATCAGAGATGCAGAACGTCACTGTGTATGTCACTGAAGTGCTAAATAGTACACAGGTGTTGAGGTGCTGCCCTCAGAGATAGGATTAGATGTGAGGGTTACAAGTAATTTATTCCAAAGGCTGAACATCTCTAATGGTGCAGCTGTTACACATGCTGAAATAGCTTATTTTACCTGAACTCAAATGCTCCAAATAGCTTATTTGGAGCTTGTGAATGTCAGAACTGTCCTGAAGTTTTCTGTTTGTTTTTATTTTTAATGGCCTTAAATACCAAGGACAAATTCCCACGAGATTTTAATTAAAAAGTATGTGAACACTGTCTGGCCCAAAATGAAGAATGCTACTTTTGGGTACCTGTGTGGTGTTTGGCATGGGAAATCTGAGTGCAGCTCCATGAACTGATCCCTTTATTCTCCTAGGTTAAATTGGTAGCAAGGGAACTTTTGAAAGGCAGCAAATGGTGTTGAAGAAGGCCTGGGAAATGCTGTAACTACTTTGATAAGTCACTTCAGGGTGTTTTAGAATCGGAAGTCACACTTTCTATTTTTATGACGTTAAAGACACTAATTTATCACAAACTCTTAATTGAAATAGCTTATTATCTTTCTAATTTCAGTTTTATGGCCCTTCCCCTTTATCCCAGAAAGGAATGGGAATAGCAAGGCAAAGTACAACGAGTTTTATCTCCAGCCTGTACGATCGCTGCATGGCCCTCCTGGGGTTCCCTCGCACTTTGTACAAACACCAGCAGTTGCGTGCAGGCGCTGGCTTACATTTTCTACTCTTCTGACACCAGGATCTTACACTGCCATGGCCACAGTGTTCTGTAAGGGCCCTGCAGTCCCTAATCCACCTCCCAAAACAATTGTTTTTCCCAGAATTATCCAAGAAATCCAAGGGCAGCAGACCTCCCAAATCTTCCTGTGCTGCTTCCTGGAAAAACCATCCAGTTCTGGCCTATTCTGCACACGAGGTTCTGTTCTGCACCTGGCTTCGTTTTATGCTAACAGCGTGAGGCAAGGAGAGAATGTGAGAAAGCAGGAGCTTCTGCTCTGTAATATCTCAGATGAACAATGATAAAAATGGCTTGCCTCGTGCTTGTGAAGACTCTGGGAAGGAATAGTATTAAAATGGATTCCCTTATTTCCCAACTTCTCTACATCTAATCAAAATTGCTGTCGTTTGTGTTTTGTTTTTTTTTTTTTCAGTAATTCACAGCCTTACAGTTTTCTCTAGCATGTTCCTTTACAGTGACAACGAAGAGGCAGGTTCCTTGCTGAGCACTGAACTGGGTTTTCAGGTAGTTCAGGAGATGATAGACCAGCATACGAGTTACTGTCACTCAATAATATGAATGAAAATCAGTTAACTGGGAGCCACACAAAAAGACTGTGAATGGTGAATTTCCCCCTGCCTGCTTTCTTTAACATCTCCTGATTATAACTTACCTTCCAACGTAGTGAATGACTTCCTCTGTTTAGTATATTTTTGTATTAGAAATGTGTTTTTTATGGAAGATTTCTCAAAGAACGCTATGAATGATTACAATTCTAAAATGATAATCTAGGAATCTGTAAATTCTAGGTCTTGGGAAAAATGCATGTTTATAAGACAATTCTAAACAAGGTTGTTTTTGCTTGCTTTCTTCACAGAGTTATAGTGAACATAACTCACACTGCCCCAGGATCTCCTTCAAAGACAATACGGTTCCTGAATGTGGCGTTTGACAGTTCTGGGGACTCCCTCCTTGCTGGAGACCACCAAGGGAACATATATGTTTTTGACCTGAAGGGGAACAGGTAAGAAGATTTATATCAGGACATTGTAATTATCCTGCTGTCTGTATCACTCAGGGACATGGAACCTGCCTGCCACTGTGCCACAGTTACCTGTGTACTATTTTATTAGTGTAGCTGTTCTGAAAAGATAAGAGGGTTGTAACTGTAAACTGAACAACCAGCAGTTTCAGAGATCTTCAGTGATTAAAGACTTAAAAAAGATTGTCATTTTGTAGGAGAACATTAATGTCTTTTCAATTTTACACTACTAAGTTTTACAGTATTAGCAGTGATTGTTGTATTTATTGTAAGTAGATATGGTTTCTTTGCTCCCTTCCTTTGAGTTAATTTATTTCTTGGTGAAATAAGTTGAAACTGTTTAAGCTATTACTTCACTTGACAGAATGACCCCAAGTTTGCTAACACAGTGAGGCCGTGTATTTTTAAATAGGTTCAACCTCGTTCAGCGAACAATGCAGGCGTGCACTGCTTTGGCATTTAATCTTCGCAGAAAGACGGAATTCCTGGTGGCTTTGGCAGACTATTCTATTAAGTGCTTCGATACAGGTAAAGGTTTATTATCTGAATAGTTATGAAAGCCTTTATAATTTTAGTTTCAATCTCAATTTTTTGTAAATCAATTGAAGTCTTTTATGCATCTCATACCTTGTGTTCTTACCACCACCACCACCCAGAAAACAAAAAAAGACACAAGTTGAGACCTGTGAGGCCTGTATGGGTTATGGTCCCGGGGGTAAATAAGCCCTTCACTTTGTCAGAGCTTCCTTTTCCTACTGAGTCACACAGGCATCTGTTTAGCTGAAGGCTGGCACAGGATCAGGATTATATATTTTACTTTTTTAACACAAATCTACATATATACATATTTTTAGAACAAGGTATTCTAGATAAAATCAAAGCAAAATCAGTCAACAATGTCAGTTTGCAACTGAAAGTTGTAAATTATGTTTACAGTAAAATATGTAAACAAGATTATATACTAAAAGAATTGTCAGTTGTATCGAGAATGCCAACAGATCTGTATTGTTACTCAAAAACAATATCAAAAATTAACTTCACAGGCTAGCTGTGTGCCTCTGACTTGGTTAGAAGTTAAATGGTGAAGGGCATTGACAATTCATTCTTCCTGACTTAACCTGTCAAAATTATATCTGTAATGTCTCACATCTGGATTTAAGTCTTTTTAAAAAGCCATAGGAGTCACTTACCTGCAATTTGAGCAGTTCCAGTCTGATATTATTAGTGCAGTTTTTAAAGTAACAATGTTTTCCCAAAATAAGAGTAGGAGATAAGGCCTTGAAATCCTACCAGCTTTTCCTTTCAACCATGGTAAGACCAACCATAGTTTTTGGATGCGTTTAAAGAAATATTGCTAATTATCCCATAAACCTGCATGTTTTTATGGCTCAGTTTCCAGATACCAAGTCATACTGAAGAATGTTTTAAAATGTAAGTGATCTTCACATAAGTCAGCGTCGGGTGAGCTACCCTTAGAGGTGTGTTCGATAATAGTCAGTGGGCTCCATCCCCTGCTTCAGAAGCCCTTCTCTGTAATCCCTTGTCATCCTTCTGTGTGACAACTGCTTTAAACGCTCAATTCTCTGTAAGCCCAGCAGAAAGTTTGGCTGTTAGGCTTTACAAGCTGCGTTACAGCCACTTCCCACCCTCGATGCCG